GTATAGATTAAATAACTAGGAGCGAGGAGATGCTAAACCAACTTAGTCAATGTGGTCCTTGATAGGAATATGGCAAAAAGAATAGATACATAGAATTCAAACTCTCGTGTTCATGACCCATAATGTAGCTAACCTAGACCTAGTGCAATTAGTAAATAGTGAAGTGTAGGTAGTTCATATTAGATAAGGATAATAAATTTATTAAGTTCTTTATCGGAAAGGCAAGTAGCAACCTCCTATCTACCTTTGGTGGTTAATCTGGTTATGCTCAAAAGGAATGAAACAAAATAATACGTAGTAGTATAGTAATAAACAAAGAGGGAGGGGAGAGGTGAAACTAATAATAATAATAATAATAATAATAATAATAATAATAATAATAATAATAATAATAAGGATTTTTTAGAAAATAACACCATAAATTTTCACAAATTTTGCTTATAACACCACATTATCTCAAATTTTTACTATAACACCACCAAAAAACCAAAAAATTTGATTTCACCACCTATTAAAAGATTTTTGGATGGAATCCGTTAGTGGGACCCACCAAGTATACGTGGCACTCATTGATTAGTTAAAAAAAAAAAAACCTCAACACTAATTCAGCTAGCCCACCGCCGCACCACCTATCTCCGGCAACACAACTCCAGCCGAAAACCACCTTTCCCCCACCTTGATCGGCGAAACCGAGCGTTTTCCACCCTGACACTGGAGAAACCGAGCGACCAGCCACCAGCTGTGAGCGCGTTCACCCCTTCTCCCTCCTCGAAAACCAGCCACCAGTCGTGAGCTCGCAGCCGGCGTAACCAGAGAAGAAACAAGAGCAGGGCACGTTATGGTGTTCGCGATTGAGAATTAGAGAGGCTAAATCGATGATATTCACCGGCGAAGAGCGAGATCTTGAACTTTGTAATCTCCTCTTCGAAGCTCAGAATCATAGAAATGGGGGTCGATTTGACCGTTTCAAAGGTGGGGAAATGGGGGTGGTTTTACGCGCGGTGGTGGCGGGGGTAGGTGTAGCAGGTACGCGGTTGGGATATGGTGGTGTGTAGGCGCGGCGGCTGAGGTTGGGATGCCAGCAGTTGCAGTGGTGGTGGTGGGGTCAAGGCTGTCGGTGGTGGGATGGTGGTAAGGTTAGATTTTAGGGCTTTTTTTTTTTTTTTTTTTAAAATTCTTTTTATTTTTTAAAAACCAACGTTGTATTGACATGTGTCCATAACGGGTCCCACTAACGGATTCCATCCAAAAATCCGTTAGTTGGTAGTGAAATCAAATTTTTAGTCTTTTTGTGGTGTAATAATACAAAATTGTGATAATATGGTGTTATAAGCAAAATTTGTGAAAATTTGTAGTGTTATTTTCTAAAAAATCCTAATAATAATATAAAATAACTTTTTAAAAGGATTGTCAAAATATCAACCAATCATTATTGAATTGAAGAGTATTACACTAGTTTTTAGTTGAGGTGTTATACTTCCTTCTAACAGTATAACCAAAATACGTCAGAGGATGCATTGTTATGTATTTGCAAATGCATAATAAATACGGAGTAATAAAATATTGAAAATTACATGAAAGAGAGAAAAAGGAGGAGAGAGATAGGTAAGTGAAACCACTTTTAATTGTACCACTGAAAGCTTATATAATATTATTGGCTATTGCATCCATTATATTTCAATTATATTTCAAATATAAGCCTTTGAAGTTGACACATATATAGTAATTCTCCAATTCTACAGAAGTATAAATATAATTTTGCTTTTACCAAGTACTATTATTATTATTACTAGTTTTGTGCCCGTGCGATGTCCGAGTTTTTTTTTTTTTATTGAATTTTAAGATAAATTTTTTAATCTATATGTCTAATTTTAAAAAAGATCATTAATACAAAAGTAGTTAGTTATTAACGTGCTTTTGTGACGATTTGTTATCTAGTAGGCATATAATGACTAATAATAATGTTGGTGGAAATGTTTGATTTAATTACATTAAAAAATTAAAAAATAGCAAAAATAAAATAAATTAAATAAATGTTCAAAATCCGTTGGGTTGACCCAAACCCAAAACTTTGGGCAAGGGTTGAACATTTCTTGACTCGTAACTTGAAGTGACCCAATTTGAGATGACTCATGACCTGACCCTAATTGACATGTCTACATAATCTATTATGATATTAAAAATAAATTTATATGATAATTTTTTAGAATTATAATCTAATAATTTTTTTGAATAGAATTATAATTCAATTTTTATATTTGAAATATTGGTATTTCATCGATAATAAAATTCTAAACCAACAATTTTATCCTAAAATTCTATCAAAATAGATTTCTAAACTAACTTTTTTTTTTTTAATCTTGTGAAGTCTATTTAGATCTATCCAATGTGGCACGAAACTTGGCAAAAAGTTGGAACGCCAAGTGTCTCTGTTTCGTGACCTGGCTAAAAGTTTAGCTTTATATATTAGTTATATTATTATTATTATTATTATTATTATTTTATATATTTTTTTTTATTTTTTTTTTGTGTTTAGAGATCGAGCCACAAGGGCGGGGTGAAAATTGATCCCAGAACCTTCTAGAATCGGGGAGGGAAGCTCTAACCACTTGAGCTATCTCTCACTCTCTTTTACAAAATACTATAAGAGATAAGTATCCATAACATTGCATATTGCAAGCAGTACTTGTATTATTTTTGGAAAATAAAGAAAATTTAAGACAATTATATAATAAATGTTCTTCTAATTGAAATAAAGGAAGCACAATATACATTTTAGAATATATATAGGCCCTGTTTGGGAGAAAGCTGAAAGCTGAAGCTGATTGATTTAGCTGATTTTGACTAGCTGATTTTATTAACTGGTTTGACTAACTTATTGTATTAACTGATTATATAAAAGTGTGTGGTAAATAGCTGATAGCTTAAAGGTGATGAGTATGTGAAATGACCAATAAGCTAATTGTGGGGTAGGTAATTTAGATAGGATTTTAAATTAAATGAGGTTATAAATGTCATTTCACAATAATTAATGAATAAGCTAATTGAAAAAGCTCCTAAAATGAGCTTTTTCAAGAAGAGCTTATTTAGTGTAATAAGCTCTTTCAATAAGCTTAGTGCCAAACACTTGTATTAGCTTGTTTGACTAGTCAATCAGCTAAAGTTAGTCAAATAAGCTAATATACCCCCAATAAGCTTACTACTAAACATGGCCATAAACCTTCAACCTCAATATCTCATGTTTAGTCGTATATATAATTCTCCGAACTAGTTGAGTATATAGATAACTATCCGTTGACTTTGTTAATAATAAACAATAAAGAAAAGGACATGCTAAGGATTTGTTCTGATTTGCTAAACTGAGTTAAACTAAACTGTACTGAACTGAATTATTTATGAGAAAAGAAAATTAGGAGATGAAATAAATTGAATTGAACTAATTAGAGTTAAATTGAACTGAACTGAAATTAAGTTGAAAAGAACAGGCTCTAAGTGGTCCCTTTTTCTTGTTTGTTGAGGATGGTAAAAAAGATATGGAGTAGCTTGTTATTAAATTTCTTTGTAATTTCTCATGTAAGATGGGCATGTAATATCGTTTCTCATACAATAGGTGAAAAAGGGGAAATAGTCTTGAACGTGTTGTATTGGTGTTTTTTCTCAAGATATTCTAACCTTGCCAGAAATTGACTCATAAAGTCATAATAAATTGTACGCTTTATTTCTTCTTCTTTTTTTTTAATAAACAAAAAACATGGAAAATTATATGGCATAATGTTTACATTAATTTTAGTACCCTTTGAGTGTCAAATTATTATGAAGTTAAGTGCTATGTATTAGGGCTTGTTTAGTTCACCTTATTTTTTCTTATCTAATTTAGAGCCTGTTCTCATTAACTGAAATCAGCTAAATTGAATTGAACTGAACTGAACTGAACTGAATTGAGATGAACTGAACTGAGCTGAACTGAACTGAACTGAACTGAACTGAATATTTTATAAGAGAAGGAAATTAGGAGCTGAGCTGAACTGAACTGAACTGAGCTGAGCTGAACTGAACTGAACTGAATTTCAACGTAAGAGAATAGACCCTTAATCTGGTCTTATTTGATTTGATTTGATCTGGTTTGGTCTGATTTGGTCTAGTCTGGCCTGATCTGATCCGATCTAAATGACAAATTTGACTAAACTTTGACCTTAAATATACGATAATCTATATGGAATAAATATATCAAGTAGGGTCTTGTTAAATTCGTAATAATGTGTATTTTATTAATATGTGATTTTCATATTTTTTTATTATGAAATTTAAGATATTTAGTCATAAAAAATCGGACATAAAACGATAATATGATCTGAACTTATTTTTTCTGATTTATGGATTATTTGAATGCATATTCTTTTGTTTGTAAGGAGTATTTGAAAGTACAAATGAATATGGATTAGTACTTTTAATTTGTTTACACTACTCCATATAATGCATTTTAAATAAAATATCTTTTAAATCGCAAAATAGAATAACAATAGTATATTATGAAATTGAGGATATATTTAATGACATTCTTCTGGTCAGTGAGGCAATGTGGGGATATATTTGAAATTTTGAATCAGCAGGGATATTATAGGCAATACATAATTTGATCGAATCTAAGCAAAGAGCCAAAATAGACTGCACAATTGCACATACCGCATAAAATATCCTACCTCAAATTTATCACATTAATCAACCCCTATAAAATTGGAAGATTGACTAATATGGAGTAAGGACTAATATCTCACCCTTCTTTTTTTTTTTTTTTTTTTTTTTTTTCTGAAACCATACTAATATCTCACCTTAATAAACTTTAGGATGAGATGATCACTCTTGTAGTTTACTGCTCACATAAGCAAGCAACGGTTGCGATTCACATGATTGCTTTGATTACAATTTTTGACCCCACACCAACATAAAAATAGTAAAATCACTAATTTTTATTTTTTCAAAAAAAATATTTTAATTCTGGTTTCTAAAAATTTATTTTTTAGTTTCTCTCTCCTCCTAAAAGTTCAAACTTCACTCTGTCTTTCTCTCTCTACTTCTTCTTCTTCTTCTTCTTCTTCTTCTTCTTCTTGGCTTCCTCTGCAAATCCCTCTTCTCCCTGACTCAAACCCTTATCTTTGTAAGTTCCATTTTTGTTTATTTCATTTAAAGTTTTTCTCTTTTTACTTATTTTGGAAATTCATAGTAGTTATTATTAGGATTTATGAATATTAATGTGTCCCATTTTCTGCTTTTTTCTTAGCTCATTTTATGTAAATTTCATTGCATTTTCCTGGGTTTTTGTTTTACTGTTTGTTTAAAATATGTGAAACATTCAACTGAATTAATTATAATGAAAATGAGACTAGGTTTATTTCTTAATTCAAAAATAGTTCATTATCAATAGTCGTTGAGGGGTTAAATACTTAAATCTATATTATTATTAAAGTAAAGGTTTCTAATTTAATTTTGCGTGTTTTAATAATTCAAAAAATTGAATTATTCAAAATAATGGCTAAATTATAGATAATGGGGTTCAATCTATGGTAAAGTTACAATCTTTGTGTTGAAATTAACTGAAAAATTGAAAATTTCAAAACTTTGGCTAAAATATTGATAATGGGTTGTCTTACATTATTTAATTAAATTGAAAGCAACAATTTTATGCAATATTTTAATGATTTGGAGTTTTTGTGTAGAAATGTATAGGTGGTAGATAGTATATGATGATGAAACTTCAGAATCAGTTTAACGGTGTTGGGATTGAGAGTTTGGAGCAAAGGAGAAGAGATAGTATGGTTGGACCTAGATCAAATGGCACCATTCGGCCCCGGCAATCTTTTTCCAATGGCCGCCGGGAATCGTTTGCGGCTAGCGCCCCGCCGAGTGCTCCCGGCAGCAATTCCGGTTCGGATGTTGGTGCTCTTGACTTTAATAAGGAAGATGTTGAGGTCTTGTTGAATGAGAGGATGAGAACCAAGAACAAGTTCAATTATAAGGTACTTTAGTATTTAAAAAATTGAAGAAATTGGGGTTTATTGATTAGTTTTTCAAATGTTTTGTGTTTTGATTTAGTTTATCTGTGTAATCACTGTATTGCAATTAAGTGTTTGGTTAAGGTTTGAAAAGGGGGAACAGGTATGTGGGGTTCACTCAATTTCAAATTTCCAAAAAAATTGCTAGGATTTATGAGGTTTTCCAATGTTTTAAACTTTATTTAAAAAATTATAATATGAAATTAATTTATGTACCTTAGATTTACAGTTTATGGTTGAGGTAAGAAAAGAAATTACAAGCTTGTAGGGTTCACCCAAATTTAAATTTTCAAATGGATTTGTTGAATTTATTTCTGTGTTTCTTATGGTTATATATCTTACTTGTGTTATGTAATTTTAAGTACTGTAATCTTTTGGCTATGGTAAAAAAAAAAAGGAAACAAGATTGTGGGTTGTTTTTCAGATCTAAATATTTATATGAAATCTGGAATTTATGGGGCTGTGGCAATGTATTTTTGATGATTTTTTTTGTAAAAGGAAATTTCTTCTTTTTTTTGTTTGGTTTTGTTCATCATTCTCGTGTAGTCGTGTTCTTAATGAATTTTATTCTAATATGTTTTTGGCAAAATTGGATTACTTTAGGAGAGGTGTGAACAAATGCTGGATTACATAAAAAGACTCCGGCTTTGTATCAGATGGTTCCAAGAGGTTGAAGGAGGGTATCTCTTAGAGCAAGATAATCTCCGGGAAATGCTGCAATCAGCTGAGATAAAATGCTCAGAGATGGGTATGATTGATAAGATATTGTATTATTTTATTGGGTTTGGTATAGATTTTGGAAGGCGAACAAATTATCTGATAAGAATTGGATGTTTTACCATTTTAGAGATGCTGATGCAAAACAAGGAGGAAGAATTGAATGCAATTATCATGGAGTTGAGAAAGAACTACAATTTGTTGCAGGATAAATGTGCAAAAGAGGAATCAGATAAGATGGTGAGCCCAAAATCAAATTAGCAGATGTCAAATATCATTGCTTTTCTTTGTGATTGTATTAAACTTGATCACCATGATTAGGCATTGATGGATGACTTGTCAAGGGATAAAGAGGCTAGGATTGCTGCAGAAAGGTTGCAAACATGTTTGTCCGAAGACCTTGAAAAACTTCGTCAAGAACAGCAAACTTCCAATCAAAAGGTAAGCTGACAAATGGGTGATTCATTGTGCTGCTATTTCTTTTTTGGGACAGTCAACTGAATCAAGATGGTTGCTTTTCTGCGCCTGTGTGTTATGTGCAGATAGCTTCACTTAACGACATGTACAAGAGATTACAGGATTACAATACTAGTTTGCAGCAGTATAATAGCAAGCTTCAAACAGAACTTTCTACAGCCAATGAGACCTTGAAACGTGTTGAGAGTGAGAAAGCTGCTGTAGCTGAAAACCTCAGCACATTGAGGGGACAGTATAGCTCATTACAGGAGCAGTTGACTTCATCCAAGGTGAATCAGGATACATTTTTCTGCGACTTATTCATTTACAAGATCAGATAACATTGTGATCTGTCCATATCTAAGTTATAGAAATTATGGTATCATAATCTACCAGACTTCTGTCATTGACCTAATTTCAATTGAAGTTCTGGCTTACATCATATTGGTCCCTATATCCCTTTGATATAGCAATGTCCCCATAATTTTGTCTCTTCGGAGGCAAGAATAATGCCTGAATGCTGCTTTCTTTTGCACGCAAAACTCTTAAACTGAAGATGACATTCTCATTATATAGTTGAAACTTTATCTATAGGATTTCAATATTGAGCTGGGAGACTGTTATGTTTTGCTCACTTATATTAAAGATACACCTTTGGTTGTCTCATTTGGACTTGCATCGATCATGTTAATAGGCATATCAAGAAGAGGCTGTCAAGCAAAAAGAGGCTTTAATTAATGAGGTGGGATGTCTAAGAACAGAGCTACAACAGGTTAGAGATGATCGTGATCGCCAATTATCACAAGTACAGACTTTGACAGATGAACTAAGCAAGTACAAAGACTTCACTGGCAGATCTGTTTCCGAGTTGGATTGCCTCACAGAAAAATCGAATGAATTAGAGGTCTATCACGCTAACACTTTGGCAGTTTGGCCACTTGTGAAATGCATCCCCCTCTCTGAGTTCTCACACTTTTATACTAATGTTTCCTAGCAGGCCAAGTGTTCGACGCAGAGTGACCTAGTCAGAACCTTACAAGATCAGTTAGCAGCTGCGCACAAAAAACTGCAGGTGATTAATCGCTCTTTTTCTCTTCATTCAGTTTCACTGTAATCTGCTCTTGATGATACAGTTGAATGATATGGCACTACTCTTGATAAAACCAGTGGATGATATGCACTGCTCACAGTAATCTGAGTATCTGACTTAACGTTATCATTTACATTTTGTCTATGTACTCTATCCTTACTCCCTATGGAAAATTTCTGTATTCTCCCCTGTATAAATTATGCTCTTTTGAGAGGGTACAGGAGGTCAAAATTATTTTTATTGAATGTATATTTTTTTGTGGCTTCAGATGAGTGATCTGTCTGCAACGGAGACTAGAAAGCAATACGAAGAGCAAAACATGATTATTTGTGACTTGCGGAATCGATTGGAGGATGCAGAGGTGAAACTTGTCGAGGGAGAGAAATTGCGTAAAAAGTTGCACAATACTATATTGGTACATCCCATTTCATGAACAATTTTGCTGCCATTGTCAAAATGCAGGATCATTTATATCATTTTTGTTTGCAGGAACTCAAGGGGAACATTCGTGTTTTTTGCCGAGTAAGGCCTTTATTACCTGTTGAAGGTTCTAATACTGATACCAAAGTCATTGGTTTCCCCACAGCTACGGAAGCCTTGGGACGGGGAGTTGACTTGTTGCAAAATGGTATATTGAAGAATTATCTACAAAGTGTTCTTTTATGGTCAAATTATTTTTCTTTGGTATCTAGACAAGATCCTGAATCATTTGTGCTTCTTCTTTTACTTTTGTACGTAGGGCAAAAGCATTCCTTCATGTTTGACAAGGTATTTGTCCCTGATGCTTCTCAACAAGATGTATTTGTGGAGATCTCACAGCTTGTTCAGAGTGCACTTGATGGCTATAAGGTGAATATATTGAAATTTTCTTATACCTATGATATTTTGGATATTCAATGTCTTCCTTCACTAAGATAAAATGTTCTTGGTACTTCTTTTGTCCTTAAATATTATAAATTGGTGGTCTTTATTAAGGAATTGAATTGAAATTCCACCACTATCGTTTCACGGATTTTTATATCTCCACTACGCCAATCTTGTTTCTCTTTAGAATCCTTAGTTGTGTCATTAGTCATTACCACTTACCAGTAGTATCAATAAGTTCAATGTATAACTTATGGATACTGAAAAGTGGCTTTATTTTTGGATGGTTCAATGGCATTATGGCATTGTAGCCTATTATTTAGAAAGAGGATAATTCTGATTGATTACATAATGATTTACAGTTGTCCTTGCTCCTATTTTGATGTTAACAAAATCTTTTTTCTGGAATCCTTGTACCATGCACTATGGCTTCTCTCATGTTACTTCAATTTGCGATTTTGGAAATTTGTTAAATTATACTGAACTATATACTTATGAATTCCTTTATTACTTCCAATTTCAGGTATGCATTTTTGCCTACGGTCAAACCGGCTCAGGCAAAACATTTACCATGATGGGTAATCCTGGAAACCCAGATAGAAAGGGATTGATTCCTCGATCATTAGAGCAGATATTTGAGACAAGACAGTCACTGAAAGCGCAAGGCTGGAAATATGATTTGCAGGTGAATAATGAATCTCTCTGATACATCTATGCTTGACATCATTATTTTTTTTTCACAAAGGAGGCATAAAGGTGAAGTATTGTCATTTGTGGATCACCAAGATGTACTCCTTACTTTACTCTTCTGATTGTAGGTGTCCATGTTGGAAATCTATAATGAGACAATCCGTGATTTGTTGTCTCCACATAAATCAAACTCATTTGATAATGGTACTCCCGGAAAACAATACACTATCAAACATGATGCAAATGGCAACACACATGTCTCTGATCTTACCCTAGTTGATGTTCGAAGCTCTAAAGAGGTCGCATATTTGTTGGATAAGGCTGCCCAAAGCAGGTAACTATCTTATTTTATGCTAAAACAGCGCATAATTATTTTACCATAAGTATTTTCTTTCTCCTCTTTCACAATGCTTTACTGCAATTAAGAATGGAAGAAGTTAAAAATAAAAGTGCTACGAAAGTGAAGAGTACAAAGTTTTCATCTTACCTACCCTAAAAAAACAAAAATGTCAAATGCTTTTTATGAAGTTTCACTCATTATTGTGGAGAATTTTTTATGTTTTTGAGCTAAGGATCACATAATTACTATATTGTATGTGGTTTCTTGCAGGTCAGTGGGCAAGACGCTGATGAATGAACAATCATCACGTAGTCATTTTGTTTTCACGTTACGTATATCTGGTGTCAATGAGGTATTTAAAATTTGACAATAGCCTAAATTTTATCATATTGTTGTAGTGTGTAGCAGATTTACTGATTATGCACTTAATTTCCTTAAGAGCACTGAGCAACAAGTACAAGGTGTACTTAACTTAATTGACCTTGCTGGAAGTGAGCGCCTCTCGAAGAGTGGGTCCACTGGAGATCGACTGAAGGAAACTCAGGTATTGCAGTACTTTCTAATCTGGAATGTGAAGTTATGGATTTTCCTTTGGTTTGGACTTAAAACATTATGGTTTTATTCTGTATTTATCAGGCCATCAATAAAAGCTTATCCTCTCTAAGCGATGTCATATTCGCTTTGGCGAAAAGGGAGGATCATGTGCCATTTAGAAACTCCAAACTGACTTATCTCCTACAGGTATGTGTTCTGTATCTTTTGTCACATAAAACATAGGTAGTGTTATATACCGATACATATATTATTTGTTGAATTGAATGCCAAAATGTGACAAGGAATGTTAAAGGTAGTTAGGATGCAAATATGTTGCTTACGTTTAAAATTCTGTACGAATAAGGCATTCAGTAATGATTATGATGATTGAATATTTTGGTCTAATACGAAGTATAAATTCAATGAATAGTGTTTTGATTATCAATTGCTCAATTGTGGAATAGCCTTGCCTTGGTGGGGACTCGAAGACCTTGATGTTTGTGAACATCTCTCCTGAAAACTCCTCGTTGGGAGAGTCATTGTGTTCGCTCCGATTTGCAGCCCGAGTTAATGCTTGTGAGATTGGAATTCCCCGGCGACAAACCAATATGCGGTCCTCAGATAATCGTCTGAGCTATGGTTAATCTTCTGATCAAGATCAGCTTTGTTCCTGTGATACAGCAGGTTGTGCATTTTGTATTTTTCGTTGCTAATCTTCACCCTCTGAAGCGTAAAATAAAGACTAGAAGAGCAGGGAAGAACAAGGAAAGAAACATCGATCGATAATTCTAACGTAGGTGAGAAATGATTTTGTATAGTAGTTAGTATAAATGGAAATGTTGAATATGTAATTTCTGATATCGGGGCTTCATTTTAAACGTTACACTGAGGCTGATGTTTATTTTTTCTCCTCATGTGTATTTATAATTTTAATACTTATGTGAATCTGTTCATGTATTTTTACTCGAACCACGGATAAATATATCAGTGATCTCTATCTTGCTTAGTACTCGTATCTTTGTTCTGTTTAATTCTCGGAAATTACTTGTACAATAACAGAACGAAGAAGAATGGAAGAAAATTATCTGCAGAGTTGAGTTACGCAAATCTATCCATCACTTCTTGCAGGATGACTGTTGTGTCGTCGTAACAAGATTGTGTTCGAGCAAGGTCCTTCAGTTTTATAGCTTCTTGAATCTGCCAACATATTGATGATTCATAAATCAGTATCTCTTAGAAAAAATTGACAGTTGAGGTATGAATCTGTTTGGTTGGATAAGTACCTTTTCGAAATTGTTGAAGAGTCGATTTGCAAGATCTGTGAGAGGCTGTTTATCATCGACGGGTGCAGCAGAGATGACCTTGTCGAAATCATAGTACATGAAGGTGCCCTTAAGACGGAGGTACTTTCGGACGTAATTCAAGGTATCTTGGCCTATTAGATCTCCCAAAGCCATGAGATCAAAGGCATATTTTCCAAGCCTGTATGCACTTCCTTTGGTTCCTATGTTAGCCATGTAGAGTCCCGTTTTCAGAAATGATCTTGTTCCTGTTTCCTCATTGTATATTTCTGCAATAATGCACAGCCAAGTTGGTTTTAATAAAACCCGAAAAGTAAGCCTATAAATTCTTTTGTGTAAAGAGAAGACGGGACACAACTATCACATTGTCACAACCCCTTTCATATCACATTGTCATAACCCCTTACGCTCGTAGAGATGATGACATGATTTCATATGAAAGTAATATTAAAATTAATTTAGTCCGTTCTATCATATGATCATCAACAAGTGTCATTTTGGAAAATCCACCCCCAAATCACTAATGCTACAAAACATACGACAACTTTTACCAGACATCTTAAAATAGTATATGACTACTAATTCTTGATAGAAAGAGAGGAAATCGAAAAAGTTTTGAATCTCTGAACCTAGAAAAATATATTTAGCTACATTTACTTGGACATTGCACATAAAATTCAAGCAGCAATGCAGCATTGGAATTCTTGCATGGAATTGGCTTAAATTGACCCCTTTATTTTTTCTGTCACCATCCTATATTCATATACAGCTTGAACTCATGAAATATGATTCTTAGTTGAATAGTTTGAATTACTTAGTCTATTTGACGTCAATTTTTAATTAAACCAAATAATCAACTAGTCATATTTTTTAATATTTTGATTAGGTACCAACTAGTCGTTGTCTAAGAAGATCATGATTCTGCTTCTTAAACAAATGCTTAGTTCTTAAAAAACATTATCTTGGATTATGTCTTAGCTAAATTTATTATGTACATAGCTTATATGAGGCTAAGTAAGTCATAGCCAATCATAGAAATTTGATAAAATATATAATCCAATCTCCAGTGTCTTTATTTTAAAATTTCTCACAACACAGTCAGAATACTCCCACACGTCCCTAAATATACACAATATAGAAACAGAACAATCTTAAAGACCGCCAATACTTACTGTTTTCGGCTGGACGTAATCCAGGAAGAGGGTAAGGGTAATCGAGCCACAACTTATTTTCCTCCTCAGCCAAAGAAGCATTATTAGTACCAAGTTGTGAAAGAAGAGCAATAGAAGCAATGCTAATAACAGACCTTCTTGAAGTATTTTGATGAGAATCCTCTAATTTTTTGGCATGGCAAATTATGTTACATGATTTTTTAGTAGGTGCCCTTAAAATGTAGGGAACCTTAGGAATTGCTGCTGGTAAACTTTCTGTAACACCATATAAGTTTCCCAATTGAGCCATGAGGTTGAGGATTTTTGAGTTGTGTATGAAGATTAGATGAAGTGGATGTAATCATCTTTGGACATTAGTTTTTTACAAGTTTGTGAAGTTTTGGATGAGTTATTGTGTATTATTGACCACCCAAATTGATATACTTATTGAGGGTAGTTTAGTAAATTAAGTTTCAATATTACAAATTTTACATTTTTTTTTTGAAGAATTGTCATTTTGCTTATTTTAAGCTCTTTAATACTACAAAATGTGTTGTGATTTCATGTTTTATCTTTGTAATCCGTATTTTTTTTAGCACAAGGAAAAAAGTTATATTTTTGGAAGGTATGGCAATTGTAATTAAAATACTCGTATTATTTTATACTAATTGCTATAAATTTAGAGCTAATTGTGATGTGTTTGGAATTTAAGAGAAATTCAGCAAGCTTATAAGCTTTACCATGTATAAAGGGGAAAATGTATAGGATGTACAACAAGAGTCTGTTCATTTCAGCTTAATTTCAGTTCAGTTCAGTTCAGCTCACCACCAATCAGTTCAGTTCAACTCCTAATTTCCTTCTCTCATAAAATATTCATTTTATTTCAGCTCAGTTCAGTTCAGTTCAGATCCAATCAGTTCAGTAAATGTGAACATGCTCTAAGTATAATGACGAGAATGATGACTAATAAATTGGAACAAAATTGATGACTAATCAAATTGGAGCTAAACTCATCTTAATTCCCAATTATCAAATTATACCTAATATATTAAAATCGTATTATCTGATAACCTAATTTAACATTTGACAAAAGTATTCATCAATTAAAATGTGGTAAATTATTGTATCATTTCATAAGTCAAACTATCACCATCTCATCTAAAGTCTTCTTATGACGCTACATCTTAAACGCTTACACGTAAAGGCATTGCTCATTAACAGCTTGTTGCATTGAGATATTGTCATCAAGATTAATCATAAAAATAGTTAATTAAATTATTAATTAATTGATCATGAAAAGTAGCCTTATATTTTAAATACCCTTTTTCTAGTGCTGACAACTGAAACCTAAAAACACAAAATCACTCACAAAATTAAAGCTTAAAGTAAACAAATGGAAGCAAACATAATAGATTTATTTATTAATTTAGGATACTTCCCATTCGTTTGGTCATTTGGAAAATGGATTAGTGATGTAAAACACTAATTATGTCAGTGGAGAAAAAATAATGGTCACATCAAATTTCCAAATTTAGAGATTACTCATGCATTAACTACTTAGATGATGTATTTGACAAATGATTAGAGTTTGATAACCCGAAAAAAGTTCTTAAATATGAAAAAGCCATAATGAATGAGTTTAATTTTACACAATAATTTGGTACACTTTAGGTAAATGTCATTGTAGCCTTTGTAGGTTAATAATACTTGCATATGATCATTAAGCATGTTAAATTTGGTTGGGTCCAAAATTGTAGATTCCTAATTTAATCCAGCTTCGACGATTAGAGATTAATTATCTACACTTTAAAATTAAAAAAAAAACTCCGATATTTTGGATTCGAAAGATGAATCAATACATCAAAAAAATGTGGTATGATGAATGTATATATTTAAGCTTGTACGAGCTAACCCTGAAGAGTTGTTAAACAGGGTTGCAGCTTTATCAAGCCTAGTCTAGTTTGTGCATGTCTATTGATATTCTCCCTCTATCAAATGTTCCATACTTGACACATAGATATCGTAATTTAAATTGACAGTGTGACGATTGAATGTAAACGGAGATTTTATTATATGTGCAAAATTTCAACAAATTAAAAAAAAAAATTATTTTACACTACTAAAATTCAGTCAAATTGCGACCGCTTCAAACGGTCGCAGAAAATAGCAAAAACAGTCGCAAAACATAATTGCGACCGTCAACGATCGTAACATGACGGTCGTTATTCTCTTGGTCGCAAAAAAACAAAATTACGACCGTTTGACGGTCGCAGATTATTTGCGACCGTTTTTACTATTTTCAACGACCGTTAAGAAAACGGTCGCAAATAATAATAATTGCGACCGCTTTATGAAACGGTCGCAAATCTTGAAATTAGCGACCGTCATAAGCGGTCGCTAAAAGTTTTAAATAAAACAAAAAAAAAGGAAAACAAACCCACCACCCACTCACCCTTGACCCAAATCCACCGAAACTAGATCCCACCTACCCAAGCCACCACCATTGCCCACCCTAAACAACCACTATCCGCCGCCCTCTACCCACCACCACCTTCGCCCACCTTCAACCATCAATACCCACCACCACCCACCCACCCTTAACCCAAAAAAACATAAATTTATAAAAAAAAAATCAACCTAGAAATTGAACCAACAAAAACATCCAATTAAACCAACAAAAACAACCCATATAATTTCGAACAAATTTACAAAAATCAAACAAAAAATCGAAAAAAAAACAACATAAATTAATCAAAACAATTTAACCCACAAATAAAATGCACAAAAATTAAATAAAAATCAGGAAAAAATACGAACACAAATCAAACCCACAAACACTAAGCAAAATTTGAACAAAAATTCAACTAAAAAACCCACAAAAATTCGAACAATCACACAATTTCGACAAAAATCGAACCACTATTTGAGCAAAATCAACAAAAATTCGAACCAAAACTCAAACAAAAACACACAAAAATCGAACCAAAACTCAAACAAAAACACAAACAAATATCGGGAAAAAATTGAACAGTCATGGAAATTAGAAAACAAAATAAAACAACAAAAATTGAGAATAAACAAAAATATAATAAAAATTCAGAGAAGAAATACATACCTTTCACAAAACTTCTTCCTCTTTAGGTTTATATGGTCAAATTCGACCGGTAAAACTCCAGATCTGGAATTTTTATGGTCGAATTTGACCATTAATACCAAACTTTGACGAAAATACAACACCACAGTTCATTAGTTGACAGAAATCCTAAGAAAAAGATAAAATGAAGAAGAAACAAAGATGGAGGAAGGTGAGGAAAGAGAACGAGAAGAGGAAAGAGTACAGGAGGAAATTTAGAGAAAGAGAATTAGAGAGAGGAACGTGAGAAGGAAAGAGAGGAGATACGAAAATGAAGGAGTAGCGGCTGTGAAAATATTAGGGTTAGGGTGAGTTTCCATCTCTTTTATACCCTATTTTAAAAATTAAAAAAAATATATAATTACGACCGCTAAAACGGTCGCAAAATTAGAAATCTGCGACCGTTTTAGAGGCGGTCGCAGATTCTGACATTTACGAACGTCTCTTTGACGGTCGCAGATTATGAAATTTACGAACCGCAGATTATGACACACTACTACTAGAAATCAGCCAAATACCGATGGCCAAAATTCATTGGTAAAAGTATAAAAAACCATCGGTATTCAATTTACCGATGGCTGCCATCGGTATTTGGCCCTCGGATGACAATTTATCGGTAAAAACGAAAATACCGATGGAAAAGCCATCGGTAAACCGGATACCGATAGTTTTACCGATGGCCAAAAACCATCGGATTTTTTTTAAAATACCGATAGCTTAAGCCATCGGGATATTTTACCAATGGCAAAAACCCATCGGTATTTTCGTTTTACCGATGGGAAAAACCATCGGTATTATTTAAAAAAAAAATTAAAAAAAAATAATACACCCCCAAACCACCCACTGCCCATACCCCTACCCCTACCCCTACCATACGTCCCAAATTGCCCACACCACCACCCAAAACCATTTACCGCCACCTCAAACACCAACCGACAATCACGACCACCCTCCGCCCTGGTAAAACATGCAAATCAACCCAGAAAACAAAAAACAACTAAACTCAAGAAAATAACCAAAATTAAACAATTAAATGAAAAACAACAAAAAAATCAAGAATAATAACCAAAATCAAACCACATAATGCAAATCAAGAAAAATAGCCAAAATTAACCCACATACCAAAAACCAAACCAACTAAAAAAGCAAAATCAACCCACAAAATCAAAGTATTAAACCTACTAAATAACTCAAACAACCCACAAAATCAAATAAAAAAAAATATAAATCAACACAAAATCAAACAAAAACGAACATACCTTTAATTTTATGGCCAAAATTCATCTACTTAAGGTTTAAATGGTCATATTCGGCCATAAAAACTCCAGATCTGGAGTTTTTGTAGACGAATTTGACCAAAAAGACCATAATGTCGCCGAATTCGCACAAAATTCATCTACAATGACCCTTAAAATCCACGAAGACCATGAGAAAAATAAATCGGAGGTGAGAAAATAGGACGAAATCGAGAAAGAGAAGAGAAGAGAAAGATAAAGAAGAAGACAGGAGAGAGAGGAGTAGGTGTGTGAGGGAGGAGGCGTATGAGAGAGAAGAGGAGAGGAGAGAAGATAGAGGAAAGAAGAAAGAGGCGTAGGAGAGAGAAATAGAGAAGAAAGAGAAAAGGGGAAAGGGGAGCGCCCGGATTAGGGTTACTCTATATTTTTTAATTTTGTAAAAAAAAAATATTTTAAAGAACACCGATGGCTTAAAGCCATCGGTAATTTTTTTTTTTTACGGATGGCTTTTAACCATCGGAAAATAATTTTAATTTTCTTTTAAAAAATATACCGATGGTCAGGCCATCGGTATTTTAAATACCGATGGATTGAAAAAACCATCGGTAAATTATTTTTTTACCGATGGCTTTTATTGACCATCGGTATTTTCCATCGGTAATTGAGCTTTTTCTAATAGTGACATTTACGATCATCTCTTTGACGGTCGCAGATTATGACATTTATGACCGTCTTTGACGGTCGCAAATGATTTAATTTAATTTAGAATTATTTTTAATTGTTCAAACATCCTAGTGACCGTCTAAAAGGCCAAAAACGGTCGCAAATTTTCGTAATATTGCGACCGCATAAAAAACGATTGCAAATTTCATAATTTGCGACCGTTTTTCAGACGGTCGTAGAAATACGGTCGCAATTTAGCCGAATTTTAGTAGTGTTAAAAGAAAAGGAAAATTTGATTCTAATAATCCAACCTTTCGCCGGTCTTATTTTATTAATCCCACCTTTCGATTATTGCTCATTAATCCCACCTTTAAGG